ACTTTCATAGCCTTCCTGCTAACTTTACGACCTTAAACCCATCTTTTACCCCTTTCCACCACCTTTCACCGCTATTCAGCCAACTTTCATAGCCTTCCTGGTAACTTTACAACCTTAAAACCATCTGTTATGCCTTCCCACCACCTTTCACCGCTATTCAGCCAACTTTCATAGCCTTCCTGCTAACTTTACGACCTTAAAACCATCTGTTATCCCTTTCCACCACCTTTCACTGCTATTCAGCCAACTTTCATAGCCTTCCTGCTAACTTTACAACCTTAAACCCATCTTTTACCCCTTTCCACCACCTTTCATTACTATGCAGCCAACTTTCATAGCCTTCCTGCTAACTTTACAACCTTAAAACCATCTGTTATGCCTTCCCACCACCTTTCATTGCTATTGAGCCTACTTTCATAGCCTTCCTGCTAACTTTACAACCTTCAAACCATCTTTTACCGCTTCCCACCACCTTTCATCGCTATTCAGCCTACTTTCATATCCTTCCTGCTAACTTTACAACCTTCAAACCATCTTTTACCGCTTCCCACCACCTTTCACCGCTATTCAGCCAACTTTCATAGCCTTCCTGCTAACTTTACAACCTTCAAACCATCTTTTACCGCTTCCCACCACCTTTCACCGCTATTCAGCCAACTTTCATAGCCTTCCTGCTAACTTTACAACCTTCAAACCATCTTTTACCGCTTCCCACCACCTTTCACCGCTATTAAGCCAACTTTCATAGCCTTCCTGCTAACTTTACAACCTTCAAACCATCTTTTACCGCTTCCCACCACCTTTCACCGCTATTCAGCCAACTTTCATAGCCTTCCTGCTAACTTTTACGACCTTAAAACCATCTGTTATCCCTTTCCACCAACTTTCAGCACTATTCAGCCAACTTTCATAGCCTTCCTGCTAACTTTAGAATCTTAAAACCATCTGTTATGCTTTCCCACCACCTTTCACCGCTATTCAGCCAACTTTCATAGCCTTCCTGCTAACTTTACAACCTTTAAACCATCTTTTACCGCTTCCCACCACCTTTCACCGCCATTCAGCCAACTTTCATAGCCTTCCTGCTAACTTTACAACCTTCAAACCATCTTTTACCCCTTACCACCACCTTTCACCACTATTCACCCAACTTCCATAGCCTTCCTGCTAACTTTACAACCTTAAAACCATCTTTCACCCATACCCACCACCTTTCATCACTATTCAGCCAATTGTCATAGCCTTCCTGCCAACTTTACGACCTTAAAACCATCTGTTATCCCTTTCCACCAACTTTCAGCACTATTCAGCCAACTTTCATAGCCTTCCTGCTAACTTTACAACCTTAAAACCATCGTTTACCTTTTCCCATCACCTTTCACCACTATTCAGCCAACTTTCATAGCCTTCCTGCTAACTTTACGACCTTAAACCCATCTTTTACCCCTTTCCACCACCTTTCATTACTATGCAGCCAACTTTCATAGCCTTCCTGCTAACTTTACAACCTTAAAATCATCTTTTACCCCTTCCCACCACCTTTCATCACTATTCAGCCAACTTTCATAGCCTTCCTGCTAACTTTACAACCTTAAAAACATCTTTTACCCCTTCCCACCACCTTTCATCACTATTTAGCCAACTTTCATAGCCTTCCTGCTAACTTTACAACCTTAAAATCATCTTTTACCCCTTCCCACCACCTTTCATCACTATTCAGCCAACTTTCATAGCCTTCCTGCTAACTTTACAACCTTAAAACCATCTTTTACCCCTTTCCACCACCTTTCATTACTATGCAGCCAACTTTCACATAATCCCGCTAACTTTTCCAACTTAAAGGTATCTTTACCCCCTTCCCTCCAACTTTCAGCCACTTCTAGCCAAATTTCACTCCGAACATATTACATGTGTGCATATACAATACATGGACTTTGATTAATCACTCAAATACAAATAACTACACATTTACAGACAGCAATAATTATATTTACATCAGTTTACTGAAATAATCACCATATGTGACATTACATATTTGTTGATATGCATATTATAATAAACATAGCTAGTTGTTACAGCATTATGCTAATATTAGCGACTCCATTCATTGGTTTAAGTAGAAGAGACCAATAGGAACTTGATTTGGTATTTATTTGACTGATAATGTACTATAAAAAGATTCGGCTTTAGATACTTGACGGAGTTGGGAAATATGTGATGTGCCTTTAAGAATACTGCTAACCTGACGCTGAAGACGATAGGAGGTGTCCCATTCCTGAAAATAAAATATAATACATAATAAAAATTCTGAAAATTATCACAAATGACAAAGCACACACATATGTAGGAGATGTTTAGTGAAACCACACCCCATAGTGAAACCACGCCCCATAGTGAAACCACACCCCATAGTGGAACCACACCCCATAGTGAAACCACATCCCATAGTGAAACCACACCCCATAGTGAAACCACACCCCATAGTGAAACCAACCACACCCCATAGTGGAACCACACCCCATAGTGGTACCACATCCCATAGTGGAACAACACCCGTAGTGGAACCACACCCCATAGTGAAACCACACCCCATAGTGGAACCACACCCCATAGTGAAACCACATCCCATAGTGAAACCACACCCCATAGTGAAACCACACCCCATAGTGAAACCAAACACACCCCATAGTGGAACCACACCCCATAGTGGTACCACATCCCATAGTGGAACAACACCCGTAGTGGAACCACACCCCATAGTGAAACCACGCCCCATAGTGGAACCACACCCCATAGTGAAACCACACACATAGTGAAACCACACCCCATAGTGTAACCACACCCCATAGTGAAACCACACCCCATAGTGAAACCACACCCCATAGTGGAACCACACCTCATCGTGGAACCACATCCCATAGCGGAACCACATCCCATAGTGAAACCACGCCCCATAGTGAAATCATGTAACATATTCAGGTCACATAGTGTATTACTTACACTAGATTGTTCAGGTTTTGACTGTGTCCAGCTGTTTTTCTCGATTTTCCCTGAGACAGGAAATTTGACTGCTTTAGTGTTTTGGCTACCAAGAAGACTGAATCCAGGTTTGTGGTAATTCTCTGACTTGGTGATAGATGGTACTGGTCTGCTTGTAATGGCCAAGTAAGCTATAAGACAAAACATTGTAAGAACTTGAAAGCATGGCAATATATAGGGTGAAAAATTGTTGCGGCCATGTCAATTCAAGAAGGTTCAGGCTGAATTACACATTATATGTCATGTTCGTCATCATCATTCGTACAATCTGAGTACCAAAAATTAAATGAGTCATTTGAAATATCATCGAAAATGATCAATATTTTTCCACTATTTTTATCATAAAACGTTATATAATATAATTGATATGGATCCTAATATTTTATAAGCACTTAAAAAAATTTACATAATTTAGCTTCCAGAGTGATAATAGATTCCCATTATAGACATACATTGTAGTTATCTCCCATAATGCATTGCATACATATGTGTAGTAACATGCTCAGTAGTGCAAAACTTGAAGTTATCACCCATAATACATTGCATATATCTGTGTAATAACATGCTCAGTAGTGCACAATTTGGAGTTATCTCCCATAATGCATTGCACATATGTGTAGTAACATGCTCAGTAGTACAAAATTTGAAGTTATCTCCCATAATGCATTGCATATATCGGTGTAATAACATGCTCAGTAGTGCAAAATTTGGAGTTATCTCCCATAATGCATTGCATATATCTGTGTAATAACATGCTCAGTAGTGCAAAATTTGAAGTTATCTCCCATAATGCATTGCATATATCTGTGTAATAACATGCTCAGTAGTGCAAAATTTGGAGTTATCTTCCATAATACATACAGTAGTGCAAAATTTGAATAAAATATGACCTACAAATTTACTCATAATATATTATCGTGAGTTGTAGATGATGAAAAATAACTTACTTGTATCTCTGGGCTGAACCCTGACTGTTCTAGGCGTTACTATAGCAACAGGTTTGTTTTTCCTAAGAGATCCATTAAAAGCAGCCGACTTGCAGCGTGCTGTATCAATACCATATGTCCTATGTGATGCAGTACTTACTGCAGGATGGCTATAATGAGATTCTATTCTCTCTGGCTTAGAACTGCAATCTGATTGCTTCTTAGACCTTTGAGTTTGATTTTTTTTCTGTAATTCTTGCTGTTGAATTTATAATAAAGGAATAATAAACTCAATGAAACTGAACATTGAAATGGGAGTTGGTTTAACTTAAAACTTTAATTTGAAAACAGAATTGGTGTAACAGAACACTGAAATGACAATTGGTGCAACAGAACACTGAAATGCAACAGAACACTGAAATGACAATTGGTGCAACAGAACACTGAAATGCAACAGAACACTGAAATGCAACAGAACACTGAAATGTGAATTGATGCAACAGGACACTGAAATGCAACAGAACACTGAAATGCAACAGAACACTGAAATGACAATTGGTGCAACAGAACACTGAAATGCAACAGAACACTGAAATGACAATTGGTGCAACAGAACACTGAAATGCAACAGAACACTGAAATGAGAATTGGTGCAACAGAACACTGAAATGCAACAGAACACTGAAATGAAAATTGGTGCAACAGAACACTTAAATGAGAATTGGTGTAACAGAACACTGAAATGCAACAGAACACTGAAATGACAATTGGTGCAACAGAACACTGAAATGAGAATTGGTGTAACAGAACACTGAAATGCAACAGAACACTGAAATGACAATTGGTGCAACAGAACACTGAAATGCAACAGAACACTGAAATGCAACAGAACACTGAAATGAGAATTGGTGCAACAGAACACTGAAATGCAACAGAACACTGAAATGACAATTGGTGCAACAGAACACTGAAATGCAACAGAACACTGAAATGCAACAGAACACTGAAATGAGAATTGGTGCAACAGAACACTGAAATGCAACAGAACACTGAAATGAAAATTGGTGCAACAGAACACTGAAATGAGAATTGGTGTAACAGAACACTGAAA